CACATGCCGCAACATCCTTCAGAATCCTTCCAGCTGAAGTTCACATGCTCCCTCCTCCATGGAGTCCTCCCTCACTCTCCCTGACAGCTGACCCCACCCCCGCCTCCCCACCACCCTGCTTCCCAATGCTGGACACATGCCTCTCTGGCAAGCAGCAACTGCCACTGTCATTATCTGTTCACTTTTCTTTCTCCCTCACTCGACTTTGAACTCTTAAAGCACAAGGATCAAAGCTTTAATCTTGTTCAATTTTACAACTTTGTCACATGCCTAGCACAGTGACTGAGATAAATAAATACTTCTTGAAAGAATAAATAAATGGATGATTGTCTCATTAGCAGCGTGAGCTTTCTATCACTCTTTTTGCTCCACATACCCTTTCTCTACTGTGTTGCTCAGGCTGGTCTCTAACTCCGGGCCTCAAGAAATCCTCTCACCATGGCCTCCCAACATGCTTGGCTGACAGGTGTGAACCACTCTGCCCGGCCCTTGCCTTGCCTTTTTGCCTTCCGACCTGGGCATCTCACCTTGGCCTACCTGAGCAGACACTTAGGAATCTAGCTGACAGGATTAGAGCCACCATACTGATGTCTATTACCTGTGGTCACTGCAGTCAAAGAACTCCAATTTCAGAGTATTTTCTCCACAATAATAGGAAGAAAACCAATGTCATGTTCCTAATGATAAGACTGTGGCACTGCAGGATCCCTAAGTGCCTTTTAAATCACAAAAGTACTAAATATTTCCAGTGTAACTTTCCTATATGTACTTTATTAAATTTTAAATCTTTGAAAATTGGTTATTTGTGTAGAACACATTATGCTGCTGGCCTCAGATTTCTTAGCAAGACTTTCAAGATTCTCTGCAAAGTGATCCCTAATTCCCTGGATTTATCTCCTCAGTGCACTCCATGTCCTTTCTGCTCCCAAGGCCCAGACCTCTGGACACCTCAGGGAAGACCCAAAGAGGTGTTCTGTTGATTGTAAGTTTTCCCGGTACCTACTGCCATAACTGAGCCATGGGCTTTAGCATGGCCCTTTCCCCAAACTGTCAGTTGGGACTGTCACCTCTATAAAGAAAGCGGAACTTGAGAGAGAAAATGTCATGAACCCTGCTCCTTCATTGCAGCTTTTGAGCAATCCTCCATCCCCCTGCCCTCACACCTGCTGCTACCTGGTTGGTAGAACCCTTCTCATAATCTCCCCTGTGGAAGGCAATTTGCGGATCCCATAAGCAGGTCCCAGTGTGGTCTCTATGGAGCTTTCCTCTTCCCTAACTCTATTCCAGAGAGAGTCATGACTTCTCCCATCTGTTACCATTTTATTAGTCAGCAAAATGCATACACTGTTAGAGTTGCGTACAGATGAGGCACAGGAAAGAGGTGAAGAATGAATTTCTTGGCTCCTGGTGGGCTCTGCTGGTGAAAAGTCCCCCTTGTTAATGTCTCTCATGCCTCAGTGCTCATCTTTCCAAGTCTCACACAAACGGCTTCCCGGGCCTTCCCGATTCTGGAGTGTGCAAACCAGATGTGGAGACAAAACTGAGCCATGCCCATTTGCTTCTGATTGGAAAAGGGCGAGGTGTCTTTGTGTGCCTCACCATTCAGACATTCTTCATGGTGCTATTTTTATCAACAGTAATCATGAAATTGGTGTCAGATGGGCCAGTCCAGTTCCTCGCCCAGAGGATGGGTAATGGGATTCAGTGGGTTTTTCCAGGCCAGAGGAGATGTATGCCTCCCATACAAATGCATCTCCAGAATCCATGGCCCCACAGTGAGCCTCGCCTGGACCGTGTTCCTATAGCAGTAAGAGTAGGGTCATCACCGCTCCCACTCCATTCTTAGCCAAATTCATTTAACAGACATATGTTGAGCACCTTCTAAATGCTAGACATTGAACAAGATACTAGGACTCACAAAACCTTGCATTTCATGGAAAGGATTGTCGTGTGAAGTGACAGTGTCTACTGGGCTGTGCATGTTACAGTGTATTGTTAAAGAGCACAGTGGAGGGAGGATGTGTTCTGCCTGGGCTTTGGGGAGAGCTCCATGGAAGCGGTAACATTTAGCCAGGGCTTCAAAGATAAGCAGAGTTACTGGATGAAAACATGGGAAAAGGCCTCCCAGGCAAAGGAACCAAGGGCAGGAGCATAAAAAAAAAGACTGTGGATGCGTCCAAAATTCAGCTGTGAATTTAGTTCTCACTGAAGGGTCCCAGGCACACACCTGCACTGACCCCCACCTGGGAGGTTGTGAGAAAGGGGGCCTAGTGCAGGAATGCCACCTAGCCACTCCAAGGGTCCTGGCTGTTTTGAATCTAGGTTGCAGAATTTGAACTCTGAGCAGGGCCCAGCAGTGAGTGTTGGCTTTTAGTGGCAATAGCACTGCAGGTATTGAAGTTAGACATAAACTAGGGACCCCTGCCACGGTCTGTTCATGGTTCTTATGACTGAAAATCTCACTCCTGGGTAAGAACCGAGGCCCCTTACTAGCCACTGGAAACAGGATCAATCATTATATAGAGACTAAAAGCAGAATTTTCTAGATTCTCTGTCTTTCAGTTCAAATTGTAATTGTTTTAAACTAAATGCCTGGAAATTCAGGGTAAAGTTTAACAGAAAACCAAAATGGGGCATAACAGGAAAACAGGGAGAAGAGTGGCACGCAACGATGGCAGAAAGTGCATTTGCAGATGTCCTTGGCAGTCCAGGGCTTGGCTCTCTGGTTTTCATTTCCTCTGACCGAACATTCCAAAACCCACCCTCCTCAAGTCACATGGACGTGCAGGCACAGCCCTGCAGGGTGCACACAGCAGTGTCACTGGAAGGGCCTGCTTGGTGGGTTGTGGCCAACTGGAAGAGCCTGGGGCCACCTATCTGGTCAGAGCCTCTCTGCTGAGGGCCTCTCAGAGCCAGGGCTGGCTTGGTGCTCTGACTAGAGTGACAATGAAATTAATGGTATCCTGATGCTGCGACTGAGGCCATTTCCCTGTGTCTTCAAACAGGAATGAGAGAGGAAATGTCACTAGGATGCCAGGAGGCTTTTGAAATCTTCAAGAGAGACCATGCTGACAGCGTTACCATCGATGACAACAAGCAGATTCTGAAACAGAGGTAAGGCCACCTCAGAGAGCAACTGGTCCTTCAAGGCTTAGCCAGGCCAGCCTAGAGATTTGCTACTCTGTCCCTCCTAATCTGCCCAGCCTAAGTTTTACAAGAAAGGCATGGCATTTATTCAGTTTCACGTTTGATTTTGTCCAGCCTGGCACGATTCTGTCTCATGTGTGTGAGCCTCATCATGCCAGTACTATTGAGGAAAGCAACCTTAGGGCAGGGTCTATTACTGACAGTATCAATATGATATACAATTCTCACATCATTCATCATCAGCTTGCAACTCTCCCCATGTCTCTTACTGTTCCAAAGGCAGGGAAAAGAAATCTATGGACCAAATTACGTTCTTAGAACGGCAGGCACTCCAGCTGTTTTGGAGAGCAGTCCTGCACTCAGAGGAAACACGTACAGTCTTGTGACCTAGAGGCCTTTGGTGCGTCCTGCAGGCCAAAGTCAGAGCAGGCAGGATTATCTGCTGAAATTGTCAAACAATGCTGTGTTCTGGACCCCTTTAGAAAAAACTTAGAGATATGCAATTTGTTTTAGCTAGTCTTTGAATTAGACACATATCCTCAAACTGTAGCAAACAGAAAGACTGCCAGATATATGGGTCTAGAGATCAGAAAAAAGTGTTCTAGACTGTGATCTCTGGTATGTCACATGTGACTCTGGATCTTAGCACACAGTAAGCTTTCAAGAACCATTTGTTGAATTAAAATGAGATCCAGGTTTGAAGGTCATATGCTTATAAATGCCAATTCAAGGAAGCCTAAGAAGTAGACAAGCTTTCAGGAGATCATGTGGAGTGCAAAGTCCTAGAGCGGAAACCCCTAGGGGAAAAGCCTATCCAGGGAAGGAAGAGGGAGAGGAGGCCATGACAGAGACTGAGAAGAAGCAGGGAGAGAAGAGTGGGAGAACCAGGAGGAAATACCATCCCAAGAGCCAAGAGGAGAGACATCTCCAAGAAGAAGCAGCTTGTCAGTGGTGCCAAATGCTACAGAGAAATAAGCAGGAGGGAGCTGGGAAGTACACACGGATTTGGAAGCTAGAACACCATCGGTTGGAGTGTGGGACATGAAGGAGCAAGTTAGAAAAATTAGGAGGAGCAGAGAAGGTGGGGACATTATGCATTAGAATGCATTAGAAAAGTTTGTGATAGGTGAAAAACCTTTTTTAAAAGAACAAAGGAAGATAGTTTAAGGAGAGGGGAAGTTGGTTTCAGGATGGGAAAGAATTGGCCAAGATTATATACCACAGAAGCAAGCCAGTGTAAGAGAGAGGTGGAGAAACAAGGGGGAAAGCTGACACAGAAGCTTCCAGAAGACAGGTGGGGAGGGAATCAGGAGCTCAGTGGGAGGTTAGCCCTGAAAGGAAACATACATGGAAAAACAAATCAAGATGGCTGACATGGTGCATTTAGAAGTGAAGGGAGAAAACTGAAGATGACCTCTATTTTTTGTGTGAAAAAGAAGTTGAGGTAGAAGAAGGGACTTAAGGGTGAGGATGAAGGTTTAATGCAGCTGCCACAGGGAATGGAGAGAAAGCAGAACCAGGAGAAGAAGGAAAGGCATGCAGTCTTGAGGGTTGAGGGCCCAGCCTGGACTCAGAACGGCTTTAACACTTCAGCAGGGAGAGATCTGAGATCGTCTCAGGAATCCAATGAGTACGGCCGTTCTGCAGAGCAGCTCAACCCTCCTGAGCGAAAAGAAATATATGCACCCCCTTGGACCCAGCAAGTCCACTTCTGAGCATATTTCCCAAGAAGTTCTCTGGGTTCATAAGGGGACATATAGGAGGCTGCTCACAGCAGCCGTGTTTGCTGGGTGTCCACCACTGGGGCAGTGGACAGGCAAAGTAGTAGGGAGCCCCACGAAACAGGGCAGCAGGTGGGAGCGAGGGGTTGGAAGTGTGGACCAGCAAGAACAGAGCGTAAGGGCACAGCACGGAGTAAGGGCACATCCTCCATGTAAATTACAAAGAGATGCATCTAAAACAGACAAAAACATGCAAACAAAAATATACGTAAATAGTACTATAGGATACTTTATAAGAATGGGAGAGGAACAAGGGGATAAAAAGGAATGACTGAGTAAATGAATAGAATGGAGTGGGAGAGAAAATAAAGTGAATCTAGCAAAGCTGAGGACAGTCTCCCTAGAAAAGTGGATACGTGCACATTTGCACAAACTGTAGCATGTGAATTCTGAGGGTTTCAGAAGCCTTCTACTGCTTATCCATGTTGTAAGCCATGTATTTTTAACATGGCCCGTCGGCGGTGTTACAGCAAGATACTTTATTTGTTTGAAGATAAGCATGTCAAGCTCTATGAGAGCTGCCTCATCCAATAGATTCCAAAGGGCTTCCAGCCACGTCTATATTGGAGGTTTCTTACCCTACACCAGGGGCTCATATCCCTGGCTTCTTATTAAAATGACCCATGGAGCTTTTAAAAGCTCCCAAAGTCTGGGCCCAACTCCCCAGACCATCTAATTTAATTAGGTGGGGACTGAGCATCCCTTTTTTAAAAAGCAGATTCCAGTAGCAACTAAGTTTGAAAATCACTGGCTTAGACAGTGTCCAGAGACCTTGAGATCCAGAACCTCTGAGGTAGGATCCCCACAACACTACAGGTTAAAAAAATTACCAAGGGATTCTTTTGCGCACTCAAGTTGAAGAACCACTGTCTTAGGGAGAACATAATATTTCATCTTTCTTACTGTAAAATTGGCATAGTTCCTGGGTCTAGTTTGTAGCCCGAGTTTAGGTCTGTTTCCACCGGGGAGTTTGGGGCAGGGGTGGGGGGCAGTGGTGAGATGAAGATGTTGTGGTCTTTCGAAGCCTTCCAACACAGAGCTCACTTAACTCTAGTACAGTAGAGTTCTGACAACCCTTGTGACAAATGTGCTTTCGGGTTTAAACATATCTAAGTTGCGCAGGATGGGCTGGCAACACTGATGATCCTGTCTTCCATGTGGCCATAGTACAAGGAAATTAATGAAACTTACACAAAGCTTTCCTCTGAAAAGAGGTTTTCCCAGCAGTAAATCAGTCTTTTTAAATCAAATGAAAAGTCAGGAGACCAACCCACATTTTAAAAAATTTCTACATCTGTTTAATGTTACTGTAATACCAATCCTGAAAGGAGTATTTCAGTCTCAGGATTGGAGCTCTTATTTGCATTCATGGAGGTTATTCAATTATTATTAATAGATATTACGTGTTCCTAACTGCTTCAGGCAAGGGACTAAGAAAAATGTTTTTGTATGAGAACAAATAACTGCACAACCAGTGTTCCAACAACAGACATCAAAATAAGGCCCCACTGGTGCTCATAGGAGTGATCTCCATGTCGCTCTTACTTTAGGAAATGCCCTTCCAGAAACTCTGACCCCTTCCACACATGTGCTCCCATTCCCTCTAGGGAGGGACAGGGAGAAACGGCCCAGTCCCAGGAATACAGGCACGGACCAGAGGGTCTCGATCAAGATGGCATTCAATTACCACTTCCTACCTCTGCTCTAAGTCTCAGCTTTCTAGTAGCCCTCAGCAACCAGGCCCCACCCACCTAGCCTCCCATTTTACTCCCGACTTCTCTCATCAGGTAACTCTGTGTCCAATGGTTCTGGTGTTGTGACATCATGTTGGCAATATGCCACAAAAGAGAGGCTGGAACTAATTACCCCCACGCAAAAGCCTTAGGTGAGTTCAGCCTCTCTAGCCCATAGCAAATAGGTTCTAAGCCCAAATAGAGGGATTATTGGTGAGCCACAATCCTTTCTGATTCCCTCAGCTCCCCTAGAGAACAAGAATTGATGCAGAGTTGCAAGAGGGGACAATGAGTGGCTCATACGTGCCATCTTACTTAACAGAAGAGGTTTTTCCCCCCATTTTACCTACACCCTTCGCTGCCCCAACATGGAATCTTCAGCATCTCTAAGCTCTGGCCCCAACTGGAGGAAGTTGGGCTGCCTGTCTGTGACAACAGAAATACGATGTTGGCACAGTAATAGGATGTTTGCCCTTCGATGAGCTAGCACATGTGAACCAATTCTTAAGCTAGATGTTTCAGTAGAGGACAATTGCAATTCGAAATCACTACATTTTCCAGGTGTGACTCATCCTCATCCTCGTATATAATAGTATGAAGACAGGCTGGAAACCCCATGCTTGGCAAATACCAGTGCCCGGGCACTGCCAGCTAACTTTCTTTTGTGTCAGATCTTTCATAGAAATTGAATCCCTCAGTCACAGAGTTCCATTAAATAACAAAGGAAAAAATAAATGGGGAGATGAACTGCAATTGGAAACGGAGGTATTGATAATGTGAACTAAACAAAGAAAATTGCCCCTTCACTCAGCTAAGATCCTTCTGACATAGAATAGAGCAAGAATCTAAAACCAGCAGGAAAACTGGACCAAGGGCGGAGAGAAATCTTGTGGCACCATCTGGGAGTAACGCCCATAACAAATAGGAGTTCCCTGGTTCCTATTAGACTTCAATTTTGACCTTTATTATTTTTCCATTTGTTTTTTGTATTTACACCTCGTCTACTGAACTAGAATTATAAACTCTGAGAGTAGAGATTAGATTAGAATCTTGTCAGCCTCTCCATAATTTTTAAAACAATGCTGGCCACAAAAGGGGTTGTCAAAAAACAATTTTTTGTTTGAAAATGACAATCTGAAATTGACTTTGAAAAATCTTAGCAGCCAAGAAAACTGTTTGAGAATACTTCCAGCTTCCTGGAAGCATGAGAACGCAGCAGCAGGCTTCTGGAGAGTCAGGGAAGGAGCTGCTGGACAGGGGACCAGAGCGTGGCCATCTTTCTGGGAGGAGGAGATGACACAGAAAAGGAACATTGGGTCTATGGCCCCAAACGTGCCCCCATCTCGTTTCATTTTGGAAGCTAAGCAGGGTCAGGCCTGGGTAGTATTTGGATGAGAGAAGGGGAATATTGGTGTTTTAAAAAAGGGGTAAGGGGAATGAAAGGTGGATCTTC